GGTCGACTATGTGGGAATCCAGCGACACAGCCATTACACTAACTGCTGGTCCTAACACAAATAATTCTTTAAAAGAACACATTTATTGTGATTTTCAAATGGTTGGGTCCGGGACTTGAACCACAATCGGCCACGTGGGAATCTTAATGCCTCAACTACCATGCCACCTGCTGGCCCCAATAAATAATTATTAAAAATAAATAAGTAAAAAGACACAGGAGTGGCAGAGGAGAGTGGGCAGAGACCCAGCCGAGAGGAGAAGCCGTGGAATTCCATACAGAGCAGCTGCACGAGCCTCCGGGGCAGCGCAGGGCCGCGGCCGCAGCACAGGGTGTGCTGACTAGACTCCAGCCACTCTCTGAAACGCCGGGTGGCTGATGGCTGCGGGCTGGGACAATACCATGTGAGGCATGGGGTGTAAACACAGCCTAAGGAGTAAATGAAAACTGCTCCCTGGTGGCAGGGCCAGCCGTGGAGGTTAAGGCAGACGGATCCTGCATGGCCCACTGCGTGGTTTGCGTTCTGGACCTGGTGGCTTGAAAAGCTTGCTGGGTGTGTGCGAGTGCATGCCCCAAATCCCGAGAGGACAGCAGAAGAGGAGGGACTGTGGCGTGGCCACCCCCCAGGGGCAGGGGTGCTCGCTCACTTTCCCTGTCTTTCTGTCTCTCTCTCATGCCTTATAGTAAACTGGACAAAAATTGTCCCTAAAGGTAACAAGAACTCTCCCCGTCCACCTCCCTTTAGCATTTCCTTAGAAGAGATGTAGGTAAATCTTTATTTTTATTTTTTTGCTATAGTGCTTGTCAAAGAGAGACAGAGACAGAGATGTAAAGTGAGAGATCACCCTCCCACCCCTGGGGCGATGGCCATGCCTCAACCCCTTCTCCATCCTCCTCTTGGAATTTTGGGCGTGGACACATACGTGCCCAATATAACTGTCAGGCTGGGACTTGAACCACGGCAGGCCATATGGGAGTCCAGCGCCTTAACCACTATACCACCTGCCGGTCCCAGTAAGTCTTTTAGAATTGAGATAAACTGCTCGTCTTTCTTGGAGCTTCCCTGAAGAGTGAACCGGAGGAGGACGAGGCATCCTCTCTGTCTCTTTAACCCGAAATGGAACTTCTTGCTTTTCAAAAAGGTACAGGGAACGGGAACGGGAACGGGAACCAGCAGTTAGCGTAATGGCTATGTCGCTGGACTCCCACGTAGTCGACCGCGGTTCGTGTCCCGGACCCGGTGGCTTAAAACTCACGCCGGGCGCGTGTGCGTGCGTGCCCAAGATCCCGAGAGGAGAATGGAGGAGAAGGGATTGCAGTAAGTCTTTTAGAATTGAGATAAACTGCTCGTCTTTCTTGGAGCTTCCCTGAAGAGTGAACCGGAGGAGGACGAGGCATCCTCTCTGTCTCTTTAACTCGAAATGGAACTTCTTGCTTTTCAAAAAGGTACAGGGAGCTGCATCTTCTCTTAGGAAGAACGGGCTGGATCTGCCCTGCCTGACTCTGTAGGGGGGGTCTCTTGTCTCTGCAACGTTGTTAGCTGAGCCCCTGTGACGGGCGCTGCCCCTGGTTAAACAGTTACTCGGTAATAAAAAGGTTTTCTCTCTCTTCTGTCTCTCCAGCTCATAGAATAAATAAATAAAGGTGAAAAAAGAAAAAAAGGTAATCACATAACCCAGGTGAAAAATGATCCCTTTAGGGGTCAACAGGTGGCGTGGGGGCTAAGGGGGGTGGACTCCCACATGGCAGACTGAGGTTCAAGTCCTGGACCTGGTGGCTTGTTTTCTCACTCTCTCTTTCTGTCCCTCTTTGGTCAACTTAAAAAAAAAAAAAGTTAAATAATTATTTAAAATGACACCTTTAAACTAATGGTATGGTTATAAGAATGAACAAGCTACAGATTCAAGAAATATACAGGAGTGAAAATGGATCATACTTCTTGCGGCTGACCTGAGGTGGCAGGAGGGGGATGGAGGAGAGGGCGAGACCTCGGAACACACTGGGGCCTGGGTGGATAGTGATGGTTTTTGCAAAGACAAGGATGGAAAGAGAAAGGCCATTTCAGGGGAGGCATGGGAGTCGGGTCTGAGAAATGCCGGGGGGAGCCTGTCATTGGGACCCGTGGGCAGAGGCCCATCCATCAGACAGTGACGGGGCTGTAGCCGAGAGGGTGGCAACTGGTGACGCTACAGTGCAGGCAACTGAGATGCCAAGCCAGTGGTAAGAGATCCAGGGAGGGGGCCGGCAGGTGGCTTGGTGGCTAAGGCGCTGGACTCCCATAGGGCTGACCATGGTTCGTGTCCTGGACCTGGTGGCTTGCTTTCTCACTTCTTTCTCTCTCACTGGTGAACACATATGTCCTGTAGCAAATTAAAACAATAAGAGGCCAACAGGTGGCATAGTGGTTAAGGTGCTGGATTCCCACGTGCCCGACCATGGTCCTGGTAGCTTGAAACTCCTGCTAGGTGCATGTGTGTGCCCAAGATCCTGAGAGAAAAACAGAGAAGGTATTATGGACGTGGTCATTCCCTATGGGGGGTTGACTTTTTTTGAGAGAGAGGTTTTTTTTTTTTTGCTATAAGGCCACGTGCACTCACCAGAAAGAGAAACACAGAGACAGAAAGCAAGAAATCACCCCCCGGGGGGATGGCCACACCGCAATCCCTTCTCCTCCATTCTCCTCACGGGATCTTGGATGTGCACACACACATACCTAATGTGAGTTTCAAGTCACTGGGTCCAAGACTCAAACCATGGTCAACTATGTGGGAAGCCAGCACCCGAATCATTATGCCACCTGCTGACCCCTTTTCCCCCTTCTTGGCACTTATTATAATCATCTAAAATACCATATATGAGGGTTCTTCAAAAAGTTCATGAATTTTTTGTTTCAAACTAAATTCATAGTTAAATTTTTCCATGAAATTTTTTTTTAAGACAGATTATTGCTATAGGGTTCATGTGCTTGCTACAGATTCAGAGAGAGACAGAGAAACAGAAAGCAAGAAATCACCTCCTGAGGGGGGGG